TGTTATAGTAGTTAAATTTTTATGTTTTTTTGTAATTAACATTAACACATAATTATATTGTCATTAATTATTTTTATTTTTATTTTTCAGATATTTCTCATGTAGGAGTGTGCTTGTGGAATGCATGCCAAATGTGTTAGAATGTAAAGGGAACAAAGACAAATGTTGTAAGTAGAAGAAAATTGAATTACATTCAAAATGATCAAGAATGCATTCAAAATTAAAATGCAGTCTAAAATATGCAGAGACGTTAATGCTTTCTCATAACACTATACTGCCCTCCCCTTGAATGAATTTAATCCATTAGATGTTTAGAGTTGTGATTATAGTTTTTAACCTTTATCATTCGAATCTTATTTTTGGGCGTGCATGTTATGAGTTTGACAGCAAAGGTGCTTAACTAGTAGCCATTTTTGTGTATGAAAACTGGGCACAAATGCATATGGTTCATAAGTTTGTCTCAGATGATTAGGTGATTCTTTTGGCTTTGGAAAGTCTTGTTTGTTCTGTTGTGGTAAGAAACACATTTTCTTCCTTTCGTATGCTTCTTACATGTTGCTTGTCTTCATTTAAAAAAAAAAAATTAGGTATATATATTTATCCTTTCTCTTAACAAAAAAAAATTGTGTTTTGTTTTCCTTTGGAATAGGTGAGGAGTTGGTGTTTTGGTTCTGTTATTATTGTTGTAGTCTTCTAGTTTTTAATTTCATTAATGTTTTGATATATTTGCAATATAATCATTTGAGACTAGCTTAACTTCGTGTGTAATTTATTTTCTGTTATAAATGGTGTTACACGGGGTTTAAGTTTCATGTGTGGGACATGATAGACACTATATATATATAATATGTTTTATAGGCAACATTATAGACTCTATTGAAGTGATATGAAATCACTTTATTTCAGTCAGCAATGTTGGTATTTTGCTAATAGAAAGTCCCTCTAGCATTAATCTTTTTAGGATAGCGTTGAGGTAGGAGCCCAACATATTCAACATAGATAATGTCCTCTTTTTTAATAAATTCAGATTGATGTAAAGCATGGTGCATTGTTGCAGGCGTGTAGAACTTGGGAAATGTGATATGTATAATATTCAATCATCAATCATAAGAGAATTTTGGAGGATATAGAAGGAGAAAATATAGTTCCTTTACTTCTATTCATGCTTGGAGAGGGGAGAGGATATAGAAGGAGAAAATATGGAATCACACATTTATTTTCATTTCAGTTTCATACTGTTTGGCATCCATCCATCAGTAAGGTTTTATGAATCCATTCTAACTAAATAATTTATTTGAAGATTGGAGCTAATCAGATCGTGTGCTAAATAGGAAACTATGCATTCTGCTGAACAATTCATATTCATGTATCTTCTTACATGCTTGCTTAGTTTGCTAACTGATTGTGTCCGTCTTGCTAATTACTTCATGTTCTCCATTGGCTTGTTGGTGATGCGTTTTTGAATTCTTTTTTATGCAAAATATGAAACAAATAATAATAATTCTTTAAATTCACTGAAACTAGATGCTTTCGTGTATCTTAATGCTGTGTTTGGTTGAGGGATTTGAGGAGAGATTTAGAAAGGGAAATGGAAAAGGTAGGTGAAATGTAAAAAAAAATATACCTACATTTCGCATAGTTTCATACACCTTTTCCATTTCCCTTTCCAAATCTCTCCCCAAATCCCCCAACCAAACACAACATAAGTGTATTATTTTCCTTATGAATATGAAGGCTGAGATTCATTGCAGTGGATGAAAGTGAGAGATGTTGAGAATGTGATTCCATCAGGGAATTCCTACCTGAGCTGCCAAATGTGATTAACCAGCCACACTTCTTGTTGCAATCTTTTGTATAGACCCTTGTGTATGCTCTGTGTTTAAAATAACTCTCCTATTTTCCGAATGTTTGAAAAAGTCCGTAATGATGTGCCTGCAGTTTGTTGACCTGTCTTACATTATATATACAAAGATGTCCTTTGACTGTCCTTAGTCTTTACCCCTTACAAATTGCTCTTTCCTTGGAGGCTCCAACCTCCATTTGGTAATTTTTGCAGTGAGAAGTTGCTTGATGGTTGTGACGTGTTTTTGTCTCAAATCATAGAATTCATTTTATTGCCTTTCCAGGGCCCTAAAATACGCTAGTATTTAATTGATTAATATCCTGGTATTTAGGACATTCTCTTCTAATATAGAATGATCACCCCTACCTGCTACTAGGAAAGAAAAAAATGACATGCTCCCAGTGTTGTCAATTGGGTTGAACATTATTGTTCACTCTTCTCTTCCCCAATGCTGGAAGATAATTATGTGCTGGAACATTATTGGAATCACACATTATTGTCCTCTTTTTTAGTAAGTTCAGATTGATGTAAAGCATGGTGCATTATTGCAGGTGTGTAGCACTTGGGAAATGAGATATGTATAATATTAAATCATCAATCATAAGAGAATTTCTGAGGATATAGAAGGAGAAAATATGGTTCATTTACTTCTGTTCATGCTTGCAGAGGGGAGAGGATATAGAAGGAGAAAATATGGATCCATCAGTAAGGTTTTATGAATCCATTCTAACTAAACAATTTATTTGAAGATTGGAGCTAATCAGATATTTGTTTTCCTCATATATTTGTTCCCTCAAGCAACTCGTCAATGTGGTGATTCATGGGTAATAATACTTATTTTTTTCTCAAATATTGCCTTTTGAAGTTTGTAAGTGGTTTTGTTTCTTCAATTTAAATTTTCGTTTAAACTTGATCTGGACTCATTGATTGATGTTTAAGGTCATTTAAATTTGAAATTATCCTCAAAATGTTGTATTTGATGTTGTTGGGAGTTAGAGCTAGATTTCAGATATAATTTTTATGTTTTTTTGTATTTGATGTTATAGTAGTTAAATTTTTATTTTTGTATTTGATTGAGATGTTTAATTATCCATGTGGGATTTGATGACTAATAAAAAAAATGTTGTATTTGATGCTATAGTAGTTAAATTTTTATGTTTTTTGTAATTAACATTAACACATAATTATATTGTCATTAATTATTTTTATTTTTATTTTTCAGATATTTCCCATGTAAGAGTGTGCTTGTGGAATGCATGCCTGTGAAGAATGTGGCTAATTTTTGTTTTTGTTATTTACGAAGAATGATGAGAAAAACATTTAATTTTGATTTATGTTATTTTGAATTACGAACAAAATCATGTATTTAAACAACTACTAAAAAAAATACTTTTTGCGACCGTCACATGCCGTCGCAAATAATAAAAATACAGTCGCAAAAGACTTTTTGCGATGGCCTATGCGACCGCACAAGAGGGACGCAAATGTGGGGGTGGCAAATACTTTTTGCGACGGCAAAACAACGGTCGCAAATAATTTGCGACCGCCCAAACTACTTTTTGCGACAACCATTTTGCCGTCGCAAAAAAATTAAAAAAATTAAAACCACTTTTAGCGACCATAGTTTCACTGTCGCAAATAATTATTTATTAAAAAAAATCATATATGGATTTGCTACAACAAAAAAATCAATTACAACCACCAAACAATTTTTTTGGAAATGAAAATAACAAAATTAACAAATTAATTAAATTTATAATATCCATTAACCATCCTTAAATACACTGTACTAAAAAATTCAAGTCTTCAAAAAAAAAAAAGAAAAAAAAAAGAGCAACATAATATTTGGCTCCCAACATCAACCGCTCGATCATATCAACTATTCCCTCAACAAAATCTGCAAAAACATAAATCAAACTTGACTTGAAAATTTAATGCACTCCAATGTGTTAGTTTAGCTTGAAATAATCAAAATAAAACTATGCCAGTAACCTCTCTCTATGGCAGATCAGTGATTTGCAACAAGAGTTTCAATTACCTTGAAAGCAACTACAGGCTTAACTATGGGATCACTTAATCATGGCGTTCGAAATTATATAACATCTACCCATATGCATAATCATGTGCCTATATTCCAAATTGCAGAAAAATCAAGAGAGAACTCAGATAACCTTCCATATTGTGAATACATATGGTCCTAAATTTCAAGGACTAGAAATATAAAAGAAAAACTAAGACAACTGTCAATCAAATTTTTTTTTTTTTTTCCGCATAGTTTGAGATCATGAAGCATTTGTTAAGTAACATTCTGAAAAGCACTGTAACACAGGCAAATAAATAGGAAAATGGAAAACAGGTAGAAAGTTTGAATTACAAACATACCTGCAGGGTCTGATGAATCAACAATAATTGCATCATACTTTCCTTTAGGTACATTCCGTAAAAATTCAACAGCTGCCACAAAAATGAAAAGAAGATCAACAAGAAAGTCTAGCTATATAATCAGCTATACAATTAGGGGCGTTAATTACGTAAAATTATTAATAACCTAGATTAATGGATCCATATAAAATGGATAATAAGATTTCAGATGCACATATTCACTAAACTGCAAGTAAAAAATAATTAGAACATCTTTTCCACATACCATCAGCAATATGCAGTTGCACACGAGGATCCTCAAAGCCAATAGCTAACTCTGGAAAAAAAAAACTTTTTACTAACCTATAAGCAAGAAGTTGCAGCAACATACTCGTTACATAACAAAGAACACAAATAATATCTAATCACATGAATGGGCACATCATTCACCACATACATCTATAACCATCTTATCAATCTCACAAATATCAATGAGCTCCACAGTATTGTGGCGAGAGATTTCACTAAGAACTCCACCATCACCACCACCTACAACCAAAACCTGCATCAAGTAATTCAATTAAATTTAGCAGCTGATCAGACTAATTAAGTAAACTAATTAAGTAAATCAGACTGTACCTCATGGCTGCCCTAGCTAAGTTTCAATGTGGCTAATTACGTAAATCAGACTCTCACTATTTATCTACAAAGGTAGCCAAACTGATGAGACTGAAATTTAACTATGTATATGTTTGAATGATTGTTTCAAGTAGAACTAAGAGGGCCTTTCTGGAGAGACTCTACACTAGTGGCGTGTTGGACTTTTAGGTAACAAGCCTTCAATTCTCTCTCTCTCTCTCTCTCTCTTTGATTTTCCAATCTTTATTGATTTCTTTCTTTCTATTTCGGTGCACCATGACATTCTCCTGCTTAATGCTTTTGTTCTTGGTTTATTCATCAATAACAAAATATGAATTCAAACCATGGAATATTAGGGGCTCCTTAGCATGATTTTGTCTTCTGTCAACTTTCATTTATTGATCGATTGTAAAATGGGAAGCTTTATAAAGTGAGATTAAAATGGTTGAAAGAAAAAGTTAACCAAATTGGTGAAATTAAAGGACAGTTCCAAGAGACTGATATCACTGCAATGTAAAAAGAGGGTTAGATATGTGGGATCAATGAGATGGGTAGAATAGTATCTCATTTTTGGTTGAGTAGACCCAAATTAAACTGTACCTCATTTTTGACATCTCAAATTTCATCATATGTATTAGTAATCATATTTTTTTAGCATTAAATTCTGCACTTTGAGCTGATATTAGTATTAGTAATCATATTTACTCACTAAGCTAATATTAACAGTGTTATAAGATTATTGTTAAGATGAATGTAAAAAATTAGCATATTGAGATGTGGCTACTCATCCATGGCATGGTTGTCCTTACTTGACCCTTTGTTTCAAATGCAAATTAAAATTCATTCTACTTGCCTCTTTTGAAATTGCAGCTAACAATGTCTATTGTATTTAACTTTGAAGCTACAATGGATATTGATTCAAACAATAATTCATTGAATGGGAGTGAGGAAGTTAAAGAACAGGATAACAATCTTGATATTAACGAAATTGGCGAAGTTGAAGAACCCAAGAAGGGGATGTATTTTAGCTCAAAACAAGAATTGTACGCATTTTATGCACAATATGCGAAACACTGTGGATTTGCTATAGCGACAATGGACGAGTCTTATATTCTGCAGGCGTGGAAGATCCAACGACACTGCTGCCAATAAGCTGCAATTGTCAAGCTCCAAGACCTACATCGCAACAAAATTTTGATTTCATTTACTATTCACACATTGAATAACGCCTGGGCAATGCTAACTTATGAGACAATTAAGAGGCTTCAAACCTCCAACATGTAACTATGAGATATTGCCGCCATTGAAGCTGAAGTTATGCCCTCACAGCTGTGAAGCTTGAGAACTGTCAACATTGGTAGTCTCACAGACTTCAACAAAAGCAACAAATCGTGTCAACTTAAGGCATATCCAAACATAACCAGCACAGGAATAGTCAAAAGTAAGATCACTGACCTCAAGAGAGATGTTTGGGCAGTATGACGCATTAAGAACATGGAGATTACCACAAGTAAGGGCTATTTCACGTAGCGTTTCATCACTCACACATGAACAATTTGACATATCCAAAGACTCTAAAAGTGGGCATGATGTTGCTGCTGACGAATTGCAGCATCTGAAAACTTCAAACCTCAAACATCAAACCTCTTGGTAGATTGATAATCAAAGAGAGGATATTTTTTTCACCATAACAATCATGTGTAGTGACTGAGAAAAAAGCAAAGTGGTAAGAAAATGACAAAAAAGTAAATCATGTGTAAATTAATTAGAAAAACATTCAGTCAGCAAACCATTTTGTACCTTTCCCAGCAAAACAAGGGGAAGGGGTGTTCCAGGAGAAGTTGGACTAATGAGCGCGTGCAGATCATTGACAAACTGCATAAATAACAAACCTAAGATAAGCCCAAGAATAAAAGTGCCATACAGATATGAATTCAAATCAGAATTATTTTTTTCCCTACTGATTTTCCCAGAAAATTCTTCATCTAACCTTTTGAGGTCAGCTGTCATTTCACAGCATGAATAACAAAACAGTTACCCTTATACACCAAATAAATGGACATTAAGCAAGAATAAATATAGAAAAAAAAAAATTCTCCACAATTTAAAGGTACTTAACTACGAGACCAGAGAAGATGAGTGAAAAAGACAATTTTATTACCAAAAGATGCAATTAAGCCTGACCTTGAAAAGACGGAACACTTTCCGTGCCAAGCTAGTTGATTTGTCAACATTTTGGGCTGTGCCAGGCTCCCGGTTACTCAAGTATTTTGAACCATATTGTATTGCCCTGCATATCTTGTCCCTGGCTTCGGCTTTGTTCAAATACAGAACCGCAAGGCCAAGCTCTGCTCTAGCTACGTCCAATGTACTCATTTTTTTCTTATCGTATCTGCAAAGTCAAGGTACATTCTTATTTAACTCCAGAAATCCAAAGAAGTAAACAACCAACAGACAAACCATGCAAATTTCACATTGAAACAACTAAGCAGGGAGATGCAAAAAAAAGAGACATCAATGGAATGGCCAAAAACCTAATAGCCTAAATTGAAGGATACATATGCTGAGGCAATGTGTACTTTTCAAGAGATTGATTAAGAAGGCAAATGAGAAAGAGATGATGATGATCCTATTATTACCTCTAATGAAAGATTCAGCAGTGTTAGTTAACTCTCATCAAAGACCTCGTGCAAAACGAGTGAGAAAGAAAAATCCACGAAACATCAGTCAACAAACCCTCAGCTATTATTCCATCTTCTATTGATCTATAACACACTTAAAAATCCCCAAATTTGTCAAATTAAAATCAACAGTGACTCAATGCTTAACACAAAAATATATATATATATATATATATACACATTTCGAGAGTAGAGATTTGAAGCAAAATTGCAAACCAAAGAAATATGAGATTGTCGGAGTCGAAGAGTTCAAGATCTTGAGGAAGTTGAGGACGTCTACTTCGATTCTTGCTCGGACCTCAACAGAATAAATTAAATTTCAAACATTGATATTCACAACACATACATAATATATAGAGGTACATATACATGTGTAGTAGAGGTGCTAATTTGAGAAGATCAAAGGAGAGAGAGCACGAGATTGAGAGAAAGAGAGAAAGCGAGATTGAGGGGGAGAGAGAGGGAGAGAGAGAGAGAGAGAGAGAGAGAGATTCATACCAGTCGTATCACTGTGAGACCGATAGAGAGAGAGAGCGAGAGAAAGAGAACAATCGGTGTCTGTGGAGGGGCTAGGGCAAGTATAAAGAAAAGGGGAAAATAAATAGAAGAAAATAAAGGGGTAAATTGATTATTTGCGACGGCTAATCAGATGGTCGCAAATTATATAGTAGCAAAAGATCAGTTTTCTAGTATGTATTATGGAACATTGTGTAGTGGGATAATTTTGTTGATGTGTAATTATGAATGGAAGAATATTTTATTATGGAGAAATTGTTATTTTGATACAAAAATGTTTATATTATTATGCAATTATTAGGGAGAAATTTTAATATTTTTAATAATTTTATCGTAGGATATTTTTTTCTTTTTTGTGACGGCACTACACTGACGCAAAAAATAGAAAATTTTAATATTTTTATTGATTTTGTTATAGGTTTTATTTTTTGCGACGACACTAAACTGTTGCAAAAAATAGAAATTTTATTATTTTTTTAATACTTTTTGCGACGGTAGTATACTGTCGCAAAAAATGAAAATTTTCATATTTTTAATACTTTTTGCGACGGCATCACACCGTCGCAAAAACAGTGTTCTTGTCGTTGCAAAAAAAGACTATTAGCGACGGCATTTTTTGCCGTCTCAAATAATATTTTTAGCGACGGTAAAATAATGCCGTCGCAAAAAGTCAAAAAATTTCAAACATTATTAGCGACGGCAAAGTGCCGTCGCTAAAGGTAAAAATGCTGTCGCAAAACATTAGCGACGGCACTATATCGTCGCAAAAACTCTTTTGCAACCCCCTTTGTTGCGACCCCCCACTTGCCGTCGCAAAAAGCCACCTACCGTCGCAAAAAATCTTTTGAGACGGCGTTTGAGGTATTTGCGACGGCGATTTACCGTCTCAAAAAAACAATTTTTTTGTAGTGTGAATTGGGTTTATGTGATTGATTTGAGAATTATCTATTAGGAACCTTATTCTAAATCTGTAATTGGGAACCTAAATGATTTGAAAAAATCAAAATTGATGAGCTTAGTTAGTTTAATTTAATAATTAGAGCTTTTTAGGGAGTTTAATTAAAATTTGATTCAGATTAGTAAAATTAAGATTTGATTAATTAGCTTTAAAACTAGATTAATTAGACTAATATCTAGTTAGTGTTAAGTTAATCTAATTAAATTTACCTTTGTAATATACGAAGAGATGAAGAACAGTTTATTCATTCATGTTTTACTGGAGAAGTTTTAGAGAGAGAGAGAGAGAGAGTCCAAGAATTGAAAAAGAAGAAAAGAGCTAAGGAGGGAATCATCTATAATTCTGAAATTCAAGCTCTAGATAAGGATTTGAACTTTAATTCAAGTAGAAAATCTAATTTATAGTTGTATTCATGAAGAATTTGAGATCATACAAGAGTAATTTGGAAGGAATTAGCTTGAAGTTGATGATAATTGAACTAGATGTACATGCATGGGGAATTATGCAATGTTTCATCATTTTGAGCATGATTTTTATTATCTTTGTTGAATTTGAAAGTTAATTACAAAAGCATCATTGATTTCTAAAGTTTTGAAGGATTAATTTCATGAATTCATGCATTCAAAGCTCATGTAAAAAAAAGAAAAAAAAAGAAGAAAGAGTTTGAAATTTCTACATGTACGGAAATTAAGTTTCAATTTTGTCAAATTCATGAAATTTTGAGCAAATGGTTTATAACTTGTTAATCAAGTTGTTAATTTTAATAATGTCTAAAATATTGTTTGATAAATTGTGATTTTTTTAATAATTTGTAATTTTACATAAATTATAAAAATATATTATATCTTTTTGATACATGTTGTACCAAATTCAAATTTATTTTATAATCATTTGACACAAAATATATTCTATACAATGATTATATGTATATATATAATATAATATAAAGATCTTACAACTTGCTTAATATTATATTATGATGAATGACATTTTATCATATATATTATTAAAATAATTTGAATCAGCCTGCATCATTTTACATAATCTTTTATATATATATATATATATATGTATGTATGTATATATTAATATAATATAAAAGGAAAAAGTTGTAATGTTGCAGCACAATTTTCTTGCTAAAGTTTGAATTCAAGGAGCACTATAACGATGTGTTGTTGCCTGGTCTCCTTGTGATTTGAAGGAGCATCTATCTCTTCAACAGATATATTTTTATATATAAATAGAAGTGTTTTGTATAGAGAAAATCAAGAATTTGAAGAGAAAAAAATATATGTGCTTCAAAATTATTATTGTATTTTTCACTCTGCTCTTTCACTTTCATATCTAATTATTGTCTTTATTCTTACACTTTCATATCTACTCTTTGTAAGAGAATTATTGTAAAAGACTGTTGAAGTATCTCTTATCCTTATTCATTATTTTGTGAGGAAATTTCATAAGGGTGAGGCATTTATTATTAAGTGAGACTTAATAAATAAGAGTAGGACTTGTATAAAATTCACAAGTTTGGTGAAACTTTGGTGTTGTATTGATTCGTTTTGATAGTGAAGAAATTCTCAAGGATGATCCTTGAGGAGTGGACGTAGGCCCGGCATGCCGAATCACTATAAATCTCTGTGTTTGATTTTCTCTCTCTATCTCCTTTAATTTTATATTAATTATTATTGCTTTGTTCTTATTTGTTAAAATTTAAATATTTTGATTATTATATTTAATATTGTGAAATTATTTTTAATAACCCAATTCACCCCCTTATGTGTTGACTCCCTAGGATAACAAATGATATCAGAGCAAGGATTCTAGTTTTTGTGACTTAACTATCTTGAAGTAAATTATGGCAACTCCTAGCTACTCTTTATATGAGGGACAAGCATCCAATAAACCACCATTGTTTAGCGGTACCAACTTTAATTATTGAAAAACTAGGATGACCATAAATATACAATCTAATGATTATGAGTGCTGAAAAATTATTTGTAATAGTCCAAAAATTCCTACCAAATTTGTAGATGACTAAAAGATACCAAAATCTAAAGATGAGTGGACTGAATTTGATACGAGAATGGCTCAAGTCAATGTTAAAGTCATAAATATGTAACACTGTGTCTTAGATGCCAACGAATTTAATAGAATTTTTGCATATAAGACTACAAAAGAAATTTGGGATAAACTTATAGTGACTCATGAGGGAACAAATCAAGCTAAAGAGTCCAAAATTAGCCTGCTAGTCCATAATTATGAGCTTTTTAAGATGGAACCTGATGAAACTATTACTCAAATGTTTACTTGTTTTACTGATATTATAAATGGTTTAACTGCTCTTGGTAAAATATATACTAATGCTGAAATTGTAATAAAAGTGCTCAGGTCATTACCAAAAAATTGGGAGACAAAAGTCATTGTTATTACAAAAGCCAAGGACTTATCAAAACTAAGTCTAGACGAGCTAATGAGATATCTTCTCACACATGAGCTCATCATGAAAGAAAGAGATGAAGAAGAAGACAACAAGAAAAAGAAAGGAATAGTTTTCAAAATCACTTCCATTCGTGAAGAAGAGGATGAAGACAACTCAAAAATTGATGATGAAGAAATGGCTTTCTTAACAAAAAGGTTCCAGAAATTTATGAAAAAGAATCAAGGAGAAAGAAGCTTTTTTAATGAGATTTTAACAAAACAGAATATAGTAGAAAATATTTTACAAAAGGAGAAAACAATAAGAAAACTGAAATCACCTGTTATGAGTGTAATAAGTCAGGTCACATCAAAGCCGATTGTCCTGAAATCAAGAAACAATACAAGAAAGACAAAAGAAGAGCCATGGTTGTTGCATGCGAAGATAACGATGAAAGTAACTCAGAAAATGATGACAACAACAATGAGGTTGCCAACCTATGCCTAATGGCACTCAAAAATAATGATAAAGTAAACAATGAGTCTTATTCTTTTGATGAATTACAATCCACATTTGAAGAATTGCATAATAAATGTCGAAAACTTGGCATAAAAAATATTGCTCTTAAAAAATTGCTTTCAAGTTCAACAAAAGAAAATGTATCTTTATTTAATAAAATTGAAGTATAACAAAAAGATCTTTTAAAAATAAAAGAATGAAATGAAATTTTAAAATCAAAAAAATATCCTATTTTACAAAATGAATTTTTTTTTTTTTTTGAGAACAAAACAGCCACATAATATTATTATGACGCTACTTGGATATAGTTACATAATTTGCCAGTTTGAACTACATTTCTTTCTACTTTAGTAATACAACCATAGTTCAAGCCCTTAGCATAATTTATAATATCATTTAAAATAGTTGCAATCTTCCAATCGGCTTCCATTTCTTTCTTCTAAAGCATCCTCACCATGACCTGGCAATCTATTTGCACTATTATGCGTGTCATTCTCTGCTGCACCGCTCATCTAACCGTATCAGGCACACATTTGCTTCTGCCAGCAATAGATTATGTAATGATATCTTCACAATAACTTGTTGTTTGATCTGTTACATGTTGTGATCCAAACAAATCCTTGCTATTTCCGTATTTCCTGTAGTTGATTTCTATAGACACCCCATTTTTTACCGCCTTTAAGACTTGGGTGCTACTGATTGTTTCCTTGGTGATGAAAGATGTGCAGTGCAAAGATTCGATTTCTTCAGCAAGAGGAACTTCAAATCCTAACCTTACACTCCATTTTTGGACCAAAGCCTTTTGACCAAAAGATTTTAGACCTTAAA